TACTCTAGATTTCTTGTGAATTAGCTGAACCTTGACTTTTCTGTATTATAAACATAAGGAGAAATGAGGATGCTTTAGATGTAACCATCTTACTTTTAACCTGAACAAATGTTAAACTCCAGTTTGCCATACTTGATTTTATCTCTAAGGTCTAGGTTTATGGAATGTTTAAAAAAATATTTTTGTGAGTGGTAAATAAATACAAATATAATTTAACATGTATTCTGTCTCTTAAAAGTTTGAGAATCAACAAAGCATAAATATTTGTATTAAGGGTGTGGAGGCTATTTTTCAGTTTTGGTGAGCTTTTCTAAATTTTTATTTTTGTTTAAATGACTGTCTGGGTAATTCTAATTTACAACTGCATGACAAGTCTTCCATCAGAAAACCAGTAAAATCACAATAAGAGACCCTGAAACTTGGGAGGGCCCCCAGAACTCCATTAACATGTGCAGAAGCATTTGGCTATCTTAACTGCCACCAACCAAATGCTAACTTCACTACAATTGGAAACCAATGTGAAAATTCACATACAAATATGAAAGCCAAATATTCTGCTGAAACAAATGTTTTCAACTGAAACAAATGCTTGGGTTGTTTGCATGGGCCCAAACCAAATATTTTCTTGTAACAATAAATCTGTTTCCAAGTTATCCTACTCTGCCTCATTTATTAACTAAGCAAGACTTTATATTAAACAAAACTTAATACTATCCTGTACTTTATTCTGCTTTATTTTGAAGAAAACATAAAATGGTATACTTTGTTCAGAGGGGTCCAAACCTGAGGAATAGAGCCTTCACATACACTAATGCCTTCTATGGAAATGCTTAGAATAAACCCTAATTTGTCTGCTTGGCCCTTAATATTTATTTCGTTTTCACCACAATCATAAGTTCTAGAAAACATTCCGTTTAAGTTAAATACCACAAACATTCTATACTTATTATTGCAAGTCTTATTTAATATGTATCTCTTCCATTCTGGTGTAATCAAAATAAGAGAAGTGACTGTGTGTGACATGTAAAAGGCAAACAACAGCTATTGGATAAATAAATGGAGATACTACTATGTCACTCCCAGGGTTGATTTGAGAAATCAGTGGGTTATTGCATGTAAAATGCTTAGTGCCTAGCATATGCAAAGCAATTGTTTTTTTCTTTCAGTGTAAACTCAATGGAGACAAGAGTTTTTTTTTCCAATCAATATATTCATAAAACTTAGAAGAATTTCTAAGATATAAAACATTATCAATACATAAAGAATGAATGAATGAATGAATAAAATTGAATGGAACCCAAAATGCAAGCTTCTTTATGTTAAAAAAGCTCAACTTTATTCGTGAGCCTGAAGGAATGAGTAAATACACACACACACACACACACACACGCACACACACACTATTCAATTGTTTGACTGGTATAATGACTACAGAGGGAGTGTGAAAACAAAGCTGGGTAAAGCTTGAGACTGGGCAAAAAAATATTTCAGATTGGAAGCACTGTATTTTTAAAGCTTTTAGAGCCATCTGGTAAGAGTCAGTCTTGAATCTATTCAATTATTTCCATGCAGTTTAATTAAAATTGACTTATTTTGTATAATATCTGGAATATAGATATCAAAATCATGGGTAAAGATTAAAATAATGTGACCAGAATCAATTATGAAAATCCCCAAGGCTAAAACTGATTACTAAAACATATCAATTATTACTTGATATGACTCAATAGTAGAAACAAAAATGCTTGAAAACAACTTGTGGTATGAAGGAGAACATGATACTTTTAAACCTAGTTAATTATAACAGTTAAAATCACCAGTATAAAAGACATTAAAAGATGAAAGGAAAGGAAAAGAAAAATGCAAAGAAAGGAAAGCAGGAGAGAAAGAGAAACGGAGACAGAGAGAGAACAATATTCTTGAAAAGATGGCACATAAGTGGTTTCTCTAACACATTATGAAAATGCACAGGACACTGACACTAAGACCCAATGATAACACTCATTCTGAGATCTGGCAAAAATTTGTCATGGCCTATTACTGGTGAAATGGTAATGATGATCTATCTCTGTATGTAAAGTTCAGTGCTACCTTTCTGTACCACAATATTGGATATTGGATCTTTTCAGATAGCTTATTTCAGAACTGAACGAGGTGGAATATATACACTTCTATCACTCCTGAAGGAAAGCAAAGGCTCATGCTGAAAGCCACCATCTGCATGATGCCAAACACCACAAAGTTGGCTATGCCTCTCTGCACAAATATGTTGATGCATTTGTATGGCTTAAGTCATCCAGTTAGTTTCAAAAATGTTTGTAAAAGATTTGTTTGACTTTTAAAAATGTGAATTAAGACTCCAGTGAGAATTTTGAGCCAATTTTAGCAGATAGCTCTCAATTCCATTTAAAAAATATCAAGGGATATAAATTTTTAAAAAATTGTTTTTATCTAAAGATGTTTAAGTATTTTTATTTCTTTATATCTTATTTTCCATAATAAATATGCCTACATGCTTTATGTAATTATTCATTTTATTTCAATTACTTCTTGCTATCTGAGTTTAAGAATGTTGGAAAAGTAAATGTTTATGTAATATATTTCTATAGAGAGTTTTTTACGTATTTGTATAAGCAACATATAAATTTTATCAGCATTCTGATTATTTAGTATTAAAATTGGTGTGACTTTGCCAATATCATTCATGCAGGAGCACACTACTTAAAATATTTAATCCATTTTAAAAAGTCACTCAGAAATTGATTCATTCAGAACAGAATGCATAAAAGCTGATAAACATATATGTTAGATACAGTACAAAAGTAAAATATATAAAGTTATGGAAATAAAGGTAAATGCCGGAAAATAATGTGAAATAAAAGATACTATTTCATATTACACAGAATACTTACTATAAATTATTATTTGGTGACTTAAAGTTAGCTACAAAATAGGGTCTGTGAGGCCATAAAGCAAGAAGAAATAAGGAAAAGTTTTAGACTCAGTTATACAGTTATCCAAAGTTGTTTCCAGGTCTGCAACAATAATTCATGAGAAATTTATTCATCAGTTAATTATTCTTAACCGCTTTTTTTTTTTTAACTAAGTGCTAAGAAAAATTCATTTCATTGGTCCTGATGAGGGTACAATGAATGATCTAATAAATGCTGTCTTCAAGAACATCCCATATATTAATACCATAAGTATTACAGGGCAGCTTCCTCTTACATTATCAGGAAAGTTCAATGTGACAGTTTCCATTCACATGTCAGAAAAGAAGACTAGAATGTATTGAAATTGTTGCCCAAGTACAAATGATCCAATCTGACAAGTGTTTTGACAGCCTGTGTAAAATGTTCTCAGTAAAAAATAAATAACGTATGACTATTTGATAAGTCTTTTTTCTGGACAATATATGACATTTATTAAATATGGAAATATGAAAAATAATATTTACACTCACATATATTGTATCCATTGAACATGTAGGTGAATAATAATAATAAAACTCATCACCAATCATCTTCCATAAATAAAATATTTCTATTACATTGAAACCCTTTACGTAACTTTCTTCCACTTCATCCTGTTTTCCTTAGAGGCAACTTCTTTCTTGAATTTCTTGCTGTATCCTGATTTTATTTATTATTATATTAAATTGTTTTTACCTTTAATAAAACATTTTAAATATTTTTAACTTTAATAAATTAAAGCAGTCATGTTTCTCTGCCACATGCTTTTTGTGCCTTTGATTTTGTTCCTGAGATTCAATCATGTTATTCTTTTTACTTGTCATTTGTTCGTTTTTACTTAAGTATAGAATTCCTTTATATGTCATAATTTATTTACATATGTTACCACTGAAGTACAGTTGATTTGTTTCTTTTTGGGGGGCTAAGACAAATAACACTGCCAAGGTCTCCAAATGCACCCCTTTCCCTAGGGTGAATACTAAAAAACATCGATTTGCTAAAGATTTGCTAATTTTACTAATTTAAACTCTTCAACAGCATAATGATGTTCCAGTTTCTCCATAACTTCATCTTTACTTCCTATTGTCATTTTTTCTTTTCTGCAAAATTGCTTGGTAAAAAGTTGTATCTTAATGGTCTTATATTTCCTTGCTTATTAAGAATTTTAGAATATCAACGTGCTATTGGATCATATTTCGTATACTTATTCAGGACTTTTGCCCCCTTCTCCTTTGAATAATAATAATTTTAATGCAATCAACTCAGTAACATTTCATTTAGAAATCAGTTTAAATACATATTTTTGTTTTTTACATATAGATAATTATGTCATCTGTGAATAATTGATGACGGCAGTGGCCCATCTGGAGAAGTCACTGCAGAATGCCAGCTGCAGCAGGGGAGGCATGGCCAGGGCTGTGTGCTCCGTGGAGCCAGCGGGAGCCAGAAACAGGTGGGAGCCCTGCCCCCTACCAAGTTGGCAGAGTGGAAGCCCAAGGCTCCTGGGTGCAGCTACAGCTGCCCAGCTGTGGCTTCGGACCCAGGCATCCCTTTTGCCTCGGGGGCTTGGGAAGCCCTGGCCCCTGCAGGCTCAGAAGGACCTGCTCCCACCCCCTGGCCTCTTCCCACTCCGAGTGCCCACTCCAGCGCAGAGCAAAGTTGTGGTGGAGCCCAGATGCTGCTGTGTGTGACCCGGCCTGGTGTGTGCATGCTGACATGCCAGCCCCCTGCCGCCTTGACCCTCTCCGGACTTTGAGCTCCGAGGAGTGTGAGGGAAGGGATGGAGGGCAGAGGGCGGCTCCGCACAGGACAGCAGGCACTCCTCGGCATGAACAACCTGAGCACCATGGACAGCATGTTGATGACAGGAGGCAGACAGGTTTCTAGGTAGAAAGGGACGGGTGCCCAATAAAACCCCTACCTTCAAGCCAGAGACAGTCTGAAGCCTGGGGTTAAACTGCGAGTTCTGGTGGCGTCCACTGACTGGAGTGAGAAGTTATAGACCGCCTATGGGTAAATCATCACGTACTTCCGCCTTTCTGCGTCCATAAAAACCGAGGACTCAGCCACACTCAGACACACACGTCCGGACTACCCGGATGCGGAAAGGAGTTACCCACCCTGGGTCTCCTGAGAGCCATTTTGTAGCTCAGTGAAGCTCCTCTCCGCCTTGCTTCACCCTCCACTTTTCTGCATACCTCAGTCTCCCTGGATGCGGGAAAACAACTCCGGACCCACCGAATGGTAGGACTGAAAGAGCTGTATCACAAACAGGGCTGAAGTCCCCGTACCTGCCCCCATTTGCCACATTAGTGGTAATGAGGAGAGAAGAGCTATGGCCCTTTTAGGAGCCCAGACCTTGGGTTTCCTGAGCCACGGCTGTGACATGCTGTAGCACCCGCTTTGGGGCTCTGCAGTTTTTAGCATATCTGAGCTTTCAGGCGCCATCACGTTCCCCTTGCCCATGCCTGCCCCGGAAGCCCCTTGTTGTACCTCTAGTCCAGCCACAGCCTCACTCAGAGCCAGCGCCTGTGCCGGCGCCTGGAGCTGCCGGCCTCACCACAGCCACCCCACCACACACAGCCTGTGCGGAGTGCCTGGCTGTGCACAGTGGCAAGGCAGGGCCCCAAGGTCCTTCACTTGCTTATAAAATCCTTGTCGCTCTGGGTCTGGCGTGGGATAAGGGCCTGTCTTTGGTAGGCGTGGGATAAGGGCCGGTCGCGCGAACTGAGCGCAGCCTGCTGGGCCAAATGGGCAGAAGGAGCCCAGGGGATGTAAGCAAAACCCAAGCAGAGGCAACGCCAGGCCACAGAGGTTTCCGGCTAGCGAAGTGGCACCCTAAGAATCCTGTAGAATAATCACGTCTTCAAACCTTTGGTATATAAATCAGCTGACGAAACAAACCTAAAAACTCGTCAGTCTCACTCAGAGCTTTCGAGCTTGCTACAACGGTAAACCAATGTTATTTTAAAAATGATAATGTAAAATATTCAAGGCCTGGCATGGTAAGTTACTCCTGTAATTCTACCACTTTGGAAGACCAAGGTGGGCGAATCGCTTGAGGCCAGGAGTGTGAGACCAGCCGTGCCAGAGTGGTGAAACCCTGTCTCTACTAAAGATACCAAATAATTAGCCAGGAGTAGTGATGTGCGCCTGTAATCCCAGCTTCTCCGGAGGCTGAGGCATGAAAATCTTTTGAACCCGTGAGGCAGACTGCGGTGAGCCAAGATTATGTCACTGCACTCCAGCCTGGGTGACTGGATGACAGAATGAGACTCTGTTAAAAAAAAAAGTGTATATATATATATATATATATATATATGTATGTATATACACACACTTATTCTAATAGTCTAGGTCCAAAACCAGATTTTAATAAATCACTAAACTGACATGCTGGAAAATCAAAATGTGTCACCAATAGTAAGACCTCTAAAGCTAAATGTAGATTAACTACATTTACCATGATTTGTTTTAGAATTTAATGATTCATTTGGAATACTTCTATGTTCACTATCTTATGTCATATTTTATTATTTTCTTTGGCTCCTTCAAAGATTGCTAATTTTAATGCAAGTCTAAAGTATAGGGGAAAAAACATGCTTTCACAAGGCTTTATATTTTTTGGAGAATATTAGCATCCATTACACAACTCATCTTCATAGGATTCTGTTAGCTGAGATGTAATTAAATTACTTCTCAGGCGAATAATTCAGTAGATTTATTAAAAATTAGAAAAAAATAGAGGCCAGTTCAGTGGCTAATGCCTGTAATCCCAGAACTTTGGGAGGCTGAGGTGAGCAAATCACCTGAGGTCAGGAGTTTGAGACCAGCCTGGCAAACATGGCTGAAACCCCATCTCTCCAGGAGGCAGAGGTTGCAGTGAGCCAAGATGGTACCATTGCATTCCAGCCTGGGCAACAAGAGTGAAACTCCATCTCAAAAAAAAAAAGAAAAAAAGAAATAAAGAAAAAATCGATGTTGGAAGCCTGTATTATATTTATTCCATGATTTGTTCCATGTCAGACACTTGCAATATCACAGAGTGATTAAATTATAACAGTCATCTAAAAATTTAAAAGGTTATTAAGAAAACACCAACAGCAGCAAAAACATTGTTTATTACTCATTAATTACCATCTCGCATTCTTTATAGATTTTTTCAAATATATTAGTTGTTAAATATTGTAAAATAAATTGGATTTATTAAATAATTTGTTAAGTAAAACAGATTTCTCCCCTAACTATATATAAAGGCCATATAAATGTGTGTGTTATACACATTGATAAGCTAGAAAGATGTATTTGAGGAGATAGGCTCAAATAAGGTGTCAGGTTTTTATTCATTCTTATTATCCTATCTAATCTTTGTGAAAAACAGTGATATTTATATGTTACAGGCCAGAGTTAGAAAACATATAACTAAATGAATCATAGGTAAATTAATCTCTTTACCTTAGCTTACTAAAAAATATTTATTTTTATGTTCTTACTAACTTCTATGAGTCACTTTTTGCCTTTTACATGATTATCCATCCAGTGCATATAATATTTTCCCTTGCAATAGCCCTGGTGTGTGCTGTTGAAAATCAATAACCTTGAATGCTGTGTGTGGTGGCAGTTCTACCAACTCTGTCTGACAAGGAGAGAGAGGACAATTAAGATATTGCATTTAGGCATGTGTATTAACTCACCATCTAACATAGTAAAGGTAATGCGTGTAACCCTCACAATGGTGGAGTATAGGGAGCTTTTAAATAGGGAGTTTAATCTCCTTTAGAGCAAAGCCATACTCTCAGTTGCCCTAGGTTTTTGGCAAGATTCCCAGAAGCTGCAGTCATTCATGAGCCACACACTCTGTTCTTTGGAAAATTGCATTGGGATCCTCACACAGTGCAACCAATGCTCTCGTTTTGGATGCCTCATCTGTAAAAAATCCCCTCACACATGTGTATACACGTGCGTGGTACTTAACTCAGCCACCACCGAAGAATGGAGCACTACAGGGATTTGAACCTGTAATTGCAGGAAGTCCAAGTATTTCAAAACTTATGTGTCGACTATAAAACCATTCCCTCTGGCTGATTATTCTGGAATTAAAATGTAGTTCATGTTAAGCAAGCTTGGAAAATTTCCAAATCAAATAAGCTTGTTTAGAAAGGGTTATTCTCCTCTCTTTAGAAATGCTGAAGCCACAGCTTTATTCCACCTTGGTTCCCTTTGACTTTGATAATGTACTCTATGTTCCCATTCACACTAAACTCTGTGAAATTTGAATAAGATTTCTCTACAAATCAAATATGCTGAGTGTGACTATAAAATGTAATACCGTACACAATATGTGTTTACTTATTTAAATTCTGGAGCTATGAAAAATTAGTAGTGTATTTTATTTTGAAGGCAAAGGGAAATCTCTCACTACTTACTGTTTGTTTAACAGAAAAGGGCTTGAGATTGTATCTTGACTGGGTAAACCAAAATGGCTAATTAGATCGATATGTATAAATGTTTTCTATGCAATATTTTATAGCTATGTATATTTGATTTTTATACTAATTGTTGTCAATTTCAATAAATACACTTGCCTTATATTTACTTTATTTTGAAATATAGAATTTCGTTTAAGTTCTTGTTTAAAAAATGCATAGATTGAAAATCTAGTAGGTCAGCTTTTGGATATATGCACTTTCTGAAGTTTACACACATCTAAAATATGTATGTCATATTTATATTTAAACATATAACTTATACTTAAATTACACACACATACACACACACTTCATTAAACAGAAGAGGGAAAACAGCATACATCTGTTACCAGTGCCAATAGCAAAAGCAGAAGACCATGTCTATTCTACTTCTTCATAACATAAAATTTTGATCTAATTTAATTGGAAATAAACAGGTTCTTGTTAAGCTTTGGCAAAGAACATTTATAGCAATTAAGTTATTTTGGTTATTGAATTTGTATAATCCTTAGCATTAACTGGCAATCAAGAGAGGATCCTCCAGAGCTTCAGTTTTGCAGACAGTGAAGTTAGATACCTTAAAACATGCTTTCTTTGCATGTATACTAGTTGTTTTGTTCACCTCAATACACTTTTTTGTTGTTGTTAGAGAGACATTTACTTTGATATTATCATGTTATATTTCCTCAGAGCATTTTCTACCCCAGGGCTGAATGTGCTTTTGCAAAACTGATTTCATTAATTCTTTTAATATTTCTGTGATTTAAAAAAAAAAAGAAACAAGAGTGACAGAGAGAGAGCAGGTGGTGTTCTCTTTATTTTTATAGAGAAACTGAGACACTAAGAAGTTATGTAGTTTCCCAGGCAATAATATATTTAAGTCAAGAAAACAAAATATAAGTAAAACATAAGCAAAAAGTTAGTAAGCCCTCATAGCTAGTTTTTATTTTTTTAACATTTTTTTTTTTTTGCACAGAAACATATCACCTGGTTTTATTTGCATTTTTCATACTTAAATTGAAGATGTCTCGCTCTTTCCAGGATTAGCACATTGTTTACAAACTGGACACTTCCAAAACAACAGAAACCAGACCCAAATCCCATGTGGCCTGACTGAATTGTCCCCAGGAATTTCAATTTGGTATCTTCTGCAGTTTTATGATTGGCTGTGAGGCAATGAATTAGAGTACATGTAGAAAGTTAGTGGGGAGTTTCTTTTAAGGCAGCTCAATTTTTATATAAAAAAAATGAGGTGAAACACTTCATAGAATTTAAAATATATATTCTATATATAGTTATACATACAAATATATATTTGCTTCATTGATATTTACAACTAAGAAAGGATAATAAAAATTAGTTAACTGGAAAATATAAGATACAGAGTATGTGGAAAAAACATGCTTCCATAAAAAAAATGAAAATTTGAAAATAATTTAGGATCCTACGTATAATAATATAAGAGTTACCAAGAGAAATCTGTTTGCATTTTAGTGAAAAATAAGGCTAAAAAGAAGCAGTCACCATTTAACAATCTTTTGCTTTCTTCTACTCCTACTGAAGTATATAAATTATAATGAAAATATTTTCTGTAGCCAATATGTCATCAGGGTTATAAAAACAAGAGATTTAGGTCTATTTTTGAATTGACATTTTCTTTTTAACGTCATTGTTATAATTTTTACTGAAATAAATGTAACAACCTTTTGAGGCTCTCAAACCATATAAAATTAGATAAAATGAGAGGCTACTAATGAAATGCATTTGGTTATCTAAACTGATATGCATTTTTACATCTTGTGTATGAATGAAAATGTTTACTTTAAAAATATATTGAAATATCATAGTGCTGTTTTTGCTTTTAAAAATGTTGTTATGTAATTCAACTTTCTTAAGGGGAATACAGAAGACAATTAAACCTGTTTAGAAATTTCCTCTGAAATTGCATATCTTATTTATATTACAAAGAACATTTTTTCTTGTTCATCATGTGGCAGACATATTATTGCCATTTAATAGGATAATAAACATACTTAATAGTTACTGTATTATTTGAAATTTCACAATTTTCATAAAGACAACTTTTTATAATTTTTTGGCATTTTTACTGAGATTAAAATGTATAATATTTAATTTGGATAAAATTCAACATTTCTATTAATCAAGTTATTTTATAGATTTGATGTAAACTTGACAAAATGGTAACTGTGAGATGAGACTGAAAGAGAAAAAGTGTGGTTAAAGGATCAAATGGAAGAAACGTGCTGTAAGAGATTATATTTATGAATAATTTCTTAAAGACTGCATTATTAGAAGCTAAATTTGTAATGAATTCTGTATGAAACACATAGAAATAAAGTAAAACATGTTATTATGAAAGTAAACCCTAATTGATAATTGGTTGCTAAAGACCCTATTGGCATTATAGAGAAAAAAAGCCTGAAAGAACAGCTCCACATGTCATATCTGTTCAGATATTTTGCAAAGTTTGACATTGAAGAATTCACATTTAAAAAATAGAGGTGAACCTGAGCACACAGAAAAAAAATATATCGTAGAGATTTCAATTTGCTACACAGTGTGACCATGGATTTGAAAGACTGTATTTTTTTATTTTTGACATATGTAAGAGAAATGGATATCTAAATTTTTTTATGTCGACTAGCATTGCACAAAGAAGATAATCAGTTTCATGTTCATCTCACGTGTGGCAGGCCTCACTGAAGACAACTGGAGCTAGAATCAGAGAGATTTCCAGTGATTCTTGAAACAAAGCAAAGTAAGAAAGCTCAAAGCTTTTGCAAAAATTGTGACATTTGCCTCAAGTTAATGACCCCTCTCTCTATGTAGCTATAAATGATAACAACAAAAACAAAAAGAGCATAACTGTTACAGAGACATGCTTTTTCTTGAGAAACATATTGCAATTTAAAATAAACTTTTTTTCAGAGTTCATCCACTCCCCCAACCCCAGCCTTCACACACACACACACACACACAAATGTAAGCTTCATAGATATTCATTCAAACTGAAAAAGCCACCCATGAATTTTGGTTATCTTTGTATCATATCCTAAGATAGTTTTTACCTTTTTTCCTGTGTGATTTAGATGGAGGTTAACAACAAAAACAACAAAATTTTTAAATTTTTAAACAATTAACTGCTTGAAGAGTGCTAATTAGAACCAATTATAATTTCATTGTCCTGCCGTGGTTCACTATGGTTAAAAATAAGAATAATTTTGCTTTCTGTACGTCTGCCTTTATGCACATGCATTATTGGAGAAGCTTAATATTTAACACATGTGCATAAAGTAATCCATTAACTAGCAGTCTAAGGCAGCAATAACCTATACAATTCCTTGTGTTAATTTCTGATTAATATGATTAAATAAATACCATCAGACTTCAAAAGGATCACTTAATTTATGGAACTAGCGGTTACTTAACTGGTTTGTGAAATTGGTTTTCATGTCAATAAAGATTTAAAAGTTTCTAATATTCTGTATTCATCATGAAATCATAGAAATGACTATGTTAACAAAAAAGAAGAAAGTTCCCTAAAATTAATTTAGTTCTTGAGGAAAGCAATTCAATCTTAATGTAACCTACACTAGTTAACAAAAGATACTTCCTGAGCCTTGGTTAGAAATGTAATACAGTAGCCTAGAATTACCTTACATCTAAGTTTAGCAACTACCATTTTCAAACTGTCTGTACAGAGTTTAAAAAGTTGTCTACTCCCATCTAGCGGTCATTTTGTTAAATGTCATTTCAAAACAGCAGCCTGAATGGTCTGCATTAAGGCAAATGGAACTGCTGTTTTATTGTCAGAATTAAATAATTAATGCAGTTAACAACATCTGCATAGATTAAGTAATTCAGCCTCATGGGTTTTGTTGATAGCAGTAATTTTAAAAGCAGCATAAAATGGTTTTAGTCTGATTTATGGAGCGTAGCTCATGCTGCCAGAGCCGCATGGAGCTCATTGACTGAAAAACTCCCAGGATCACTCAAGAGGATTGCCATAGTTCTATAGTCAACAATCTCTTATGAATATTTTATTAAAATGTCTATGTATAAAGAGAAGGAAAGTTCAAGCAATGAGATCCTCTGTGTACAACTGAACTCCAGAATATCAAAATAGATGATTGATCTCTTCAAATCCTTGTTAAAGAAAAATTAAGACTATCAGTTTTAAAAATAAGATATGCTTTAAAATATGTATCATGTAATCTTTATTTTTACCAAAATGCAGACTAGAAGAGCATTTGTCTTGTTAATGATACCTGATTTTCAAAAACAAATTAAAAACCTGGAAAGAAAACAAATTCCATTTTATATGTCAGCAAAAGGAAGTGATTTGGTTTTGTTTTGATTTTAAATCTTGTCCTAATCTAGCAGCATGTGGCTTGGTGTGTGTATAATGTTGTACATTTACATATGTTGGATTAATTAGAACCTTGTTCAGTGGTGAAATCCAGCTTCATGTCAAGAAATATAATTAAATCCTCGTAGTATCTATGCAATTGGCTCTAACTACTCACTATTTTCCGGTGAGTAGAAATGTGAGCTACTTATCCAACAGAGCAGATCTACTTATTTTACTCACTAAAATATATCGAGTATCTCTATACAAATACCATACTGGTGTTTGGCAAAAATCTAGGGTTTATGTTGCTACTTGAAGAGAAGCATGCATCATAACCCCAAACAAAAGAATGATCGAGTCATAACATGGTGTCAGGATTCTAAGGGATGTAGAAAACCACAGTGGTTGGGAAAGCTTCCTGGGGGTGATAGGATTTGATCTAAAGATTAAAGAATGAGTGTGATTTGTGTTAGAAGCAAGAGGATAATGGCTTCAACAGAAACAAAGATGTTAAGAGCAAATTAAACATGGTTGAGGGAAAGCTAGCAGATTATTCTCTGAAGAATGGAGAACATGCCAGGGAACAGAGAGAGAGTGAGAAAAGTAGTTTGGACCAAGACTAGAAAGTGTCCTGAATGCCTTGACACACAAGAAAGCTGAGGAAGCTGAGGCTGGATAAATAAGTTTCCCTTGGAGGTATAAAACTTAAATATGGGAAAATATAATGTGCAAATTCCTGCAAGGCGACTAGAAAGAAAAAAATTATTAGGAGCTTGTTTATTTACGTAAAAACTATGAGAGTTGTGCAGTGGTTACTTGATAGGATAAGTTGAAAACTTATACTATGGAACTTACTTATTGATTGATGCATATAAGCATCAAATACTTTTAGCATCTCGTATGTGCTAGGGACAAAATTAGTAGTTACATAGTGTTTACATGTAAATGCTATTTAAAATGTTAGAAACATGTATTAGTGACAACATAATGTATATATATTTTTCATCACTGGAAAACACAATGTAGAATCAATACTCAAGTATTCTAAAAGTTAATGTAGATAATGAATTGATGGGTGCAGCAAACCACCATGGCACGTGTATACTTATGTAATAAATCTGTACCTTCTGCACATGTATCCCAGAATTTAAAGTGTAATTTAAAAAAAAAAGAATTTGGATTAAAAATTGAAAAAATGTTGTATGGTTAACTAAAAAGCCTAATTCAGATGTTTTATGTATATTTACATATAATTTATTTAACAAATGTTTAATCTAGTTTATTACATATTAAATAGAACTGCCATCAAAAAGCTAGAACAACTGTGAGGAACCGAAATTATATAAAAAACAATGAGCGTATGTCATTTTAAATTAAATTAAATTATCTTAAAACTTTGGCAACTAATATCAACCAGTGACATCTAGCAAGATGGAATAATAATAAATCACTTTTTTTAAAAACAAATAATGCATATCTATTTGTTACTCTTACTGCTTCTCACTGCCCTTCCATCAACATATATATATATATATATATATATATATATGAATGAAAGAAAAAGTGTGATTTGTGTGTGAGATATATATACATACATATATATATATATATACACATCTTATTTGCAAATCGATAAATGATAGGTGAAGATAAAAATGTCACTAAACATATAAGTAAACATATAAAATATGAGTATAATATAATTTTAACTTATATTCTTTAGAAACCAGAACTGAGTATTTCAATACACAGTGTCTAAAATATAATAGTATGGAATTTTATCCTCTGAGTATTTAAAAATTGATTTTTATTTGTAGTGAAAAATATTTCTTTGTACTTATTTAGGCAAATACAAATTTAAAAAATAAACTTCCTTATTATATTTAATGATATTATTTCAGATAAAGTTAACATTTTAAATGTCAAATATTCCAATATATGTGTGTGTGTGCTAATCGTTATATTTCACAAGTTTAATTTTACATTCTAAAATAATTCACATTCTAGAAAGACATTAGAATTTTTAAAAACTTAGCACTGGAAACAAATGTCTTTCACAAACACAATTTGTAAAGTAAAATATTAAATGAGTTTCACCAGGGTAATATTTTAAATTTTTTTGGTTGAGGGATCTTAGTAAGCTCCTGTGGGGCATGTTTCCTTTTGCTGATGGGTTGAAAAATAGGATGATTCAATGACTTTGATGTGCTTTTATCAAGGTACATCAAGACTAAAATCAACCGCATCAAAGAAAAATATTTTTATTTATTTTGTTTTCTTAGGCTAAAAAAAAAGCATAGGACTTTGGGTTAAGAAAAAGCAACGCAAAACAAAAAAAATGAAGTTTGCCTGCAATAGACAGGTGAGTCAGAGAAGTGCCGTCCTGCGTAGTGAATCATTCCAAAAGGTATTTTCTTTAGCTATTTTAAGACTCATATCTCTGCCCTCCCCCAACGCTTTTTTTTTTTTAAATATTGTAGTAAAGAACAAAGGCAATCAACAGGAAAAGCAATATAGTAATTAAGTGGTAATTGGTAGAAGAGGCTTTGGGGTTAAAATTAATAAAACCAGCATGATATACATTAAGACTGTATAAATATTTAAGGAACTACACCCGATTGGAGATGTAAACCAATTAGCAAAACTACTTAATCTGGAGATTCAGATGTTTCAGGTGGATAAAATAAACAGAGATTGCTTGTTGGAAATATGACCAGTTTTCATCCTGGGAGCGCTTTTTTTTTTTTTTTAAGTTTAATCGTCAAAATAAAACACTTTTGATGTTTTGTGTAGAAGGTTTTATACTGCATCTAATGCAACACAGGAAATGGAATCACAAATGAAATCATTGCAGATGTTTTTCTTTTCTTGTCAGATCATGTATTATAGATAGAATTCTGGCCTTTCACATTGAAATTAGAAGGAAACCATAACAAAAGACACTAAAAACTCATCCTTCAGATTTTTCTTTACTGGTAATATTGATACATAAAATATATCTACAAGAAGGAAAGTATTTAAAGGTAAAATACTTATTCTTCATATCTAGCAATTTAAATGATATAGTTAATGTAATTGAAAGTAATTAATAAACAAAGGCATTATAACTGCTGTTTAATCCACTTTCTTTCCTTGCAAAATCTCCTATAGGTATTTGATATAAATTTCAGTATTTAATATTTAATATCTAGATGAAAATTGTAAAAACAACTATTAACTGAATGTTGGTAAATATATGCATGGTTATAGTAACTTAGAAAAAATGTCTGACTATTTACTAGTATTTTATAATATTTATCTGAACCCTTTTGTAACACACAGACTTAAACTTGACAATGTTTAGAATTAACATTATATTTTGCGTCATATTCGCATAACAGCAAAATGCCCATATGAATAGGGACATTTCTGTAATTGGGAAAAACTAAATGTTCAATATAAACACATTCTGCTTATTCAACAAATTCATCATTATCTCACAAAATTACTTAGCATGAGTTGCATTGTGAATCAGGAGATATATATCTTACATCAGAATTCCTTAGCAAAGATCTGCATTTTTAGTATCTTCATGCTGAATTCCCATGAAAACATTAATTTTTCTGGTAGAATGCATCTGTATAGAATACAGACCCGTGCCAAGGCCAGTACATTGAAGTCCCTGTTTGTAATTTTAAATTTGTATTTGTAGAAATTCCAAATAAATGTTTGAACAGGGAAAAGAATGATAGAATAGCCAATAATTGTCAGTGAATAAATCAAAGCTTTTTTTTTTCAATTGATAGAGCACTCAGGAGAAATGCTTGTAAAATGGGGTTGTAGTCAGAAGACTTTCTCTCTGATTGATATTAGGCACTATGTGGGTCAGGAAACAAGCTAAGACAATGATCCATCAAGAATACCTTGCCCTACATATGTCAAATATTTAAGTTTTGTTTTTCTTGTTCATGCTGTCTACATCTTCTCCCTAGCCTATTTTTCTTACTTAAAAATACAACAAAACAAACTATCATTTCATAGCATTAACTTTTAGCTCTTGGCAATGCCTAATCTTGGATTATTTTCTCAATATTATCTTTTATGGAATAATACATTCAAAATTCTTGTTGTTAATACAAATAGGGAATTTTGATGTTATTTTTTAAATAAAGCATTTTATTTTAAACGTTAAATGTATATAGTTATTAAAGCATTTTAGCTTTTCTACATTCTGCTTCAAAGTATTATATCATGTATATCATGACAAACTTAGATGGAAGACTATATTATTTTTGTCTACATGCTGGCTGAAAGATGCATCAAGTTAAGAGTAATCATTTGCGTTTTCCTTTTACACTTTTGCTTGTAAATGTGGCAGTATATCTTTGCTGACTATAAAGGCATTTTCTGACCTACTCACCACTTTGCCTAGCACACACAAAAAATTCCGTATTCATTAGTCATACACCATAAAGATGATCTATGTTTATTCACTCTCAATTTAGGAAAGCAAAATTTTACCTATCAATATCTAGTAAAATAGTAGGGAAAGAATTCTATATTTTACACAAGAGACAAATTCATTAACTCTTGATCATTTCTAGCTTCACAAAAGAAAATGTGTTCCATCAAGTAGTGTGTAGTAGATGATGGATTTTTCTTTAGATATAGTGATATATAAAACTCTTCTGTATGTTGCAGATCTCTCCCATGTAACTCATTGAAAACAGTGGCAATTAGAGGCTCTTACACATCTGATAGAAGTAGGACATACCTCCATAACTTACCCACTAACACTTGCCTGTTCTCGCTGTTGATTTAAACCCACTGAATTTTCTCATACCAGATGCTTAAAAATTCTGAAACATACAAATGGAAGAATGATAAGGTTTGATAGATAGGGCTAATACATCATTTGGACCAGCCTTTTATCTCTGTTGCAAAGAAGGTGAGATGATTATGTAGCTAATTTATTAAAAAATTATATTTATGTGAAGTGCATAATTTATTTCTTATTGTTTAATATTTGAAAAACTCATTGCCCTACTGCTGGGAAGGAAACATATTAAAATGTAATTCAGTTACTATAGGGAAACAATTAGAAGTTGAGTATATTGTCTACCATCATCAGATTTTGCATTGCAGCAAAATTATCCCTTCTGTAATGTTAAAAAAAATACACAGAGATTTACTGAGCATTTAGTATGTGACAATCCCCAAAATAAAAAGTTATTTTTCTAAAGCAATATGTTCTGACTTTAGAAAGGTAATAAAAATATACAATTCCATAGATCTATTGTTTTAGTTGTTTTGTTGTAATACCTCAAATTAAGAGTCACCATAAAACGCACTTCCATTCTATGGCTTGCTTAAATTAACATGTGCTGGATAAATTTTAAATATGTGTGCCAATAACAGCACTAAGCAGCGTCTCTCTTTGTTAAGAATTTCCTGCTTTTCTGTTACTGGAATCTCAACAACTTCATGGATATTTTATATTAAAAATGTTATAATTGTCTAGCCCTTAAAGTTTTTACAAAGACCATGTAAGCCCTGAGAAATTCCAAGAATAATAAACATATGTATAAAATAGCCTTTGCAGTCATTTCCAGGAGTAGAGAATAGAAGAACTGCTAAAGGAGAGTGAGAATTTCCAAGATAAGGACCCCACCTGTGAACAAATGAGCCAAGATAGCAGCTAAAAAAAGACTCTGCAGATTTTTCTTCAATATAAAATGCATTTAAGACAGAAAACTGCAATAACCAAAAATGGGACAACCACCAAACAAAAATAGGAGGTGAAACCTGAGATTAGAAAGAATATTAATGATTAATGTGATTTTTATACTTTATATCTTTTGTGGTACAAAGTTAATAGATTTTCTCCAAATTTTGTAAATGAGTATAAAGTGGCTTAAGCATAATTGATTGCACTTAATATAGTTAGATTACACTAAAATAATTAAATGTCAAAATAAAAAGAAATCAAAATAATTCCAAACTTAGGAAAATGTGTCAGGTAAAGAAGTAAAGTAAAATTAAATTATTTCATTACTTAATATTTTATAACATAAGCCTATTAATACTATGTAAAGTGATAAAAATTTATTTTAAAAATATTATATAAAGTTAATAAGCTAAATAATAAAACATCTAAAATTAAATCTCCATTTGATTCAAGCATCAAACTATGATGCTTGTATGAGCTACAAGATCCGGTATTAGGTAAGAGTGGCCTTTGTTTCTCTTGAAAAGAACAAAGTAATAAAATATAAGGCTTTAGATATTTTTGACACGTTTGAGAGAATTATCTACCAGACAGAATATGAACAGAGATGACTGAAGTGGTAAAGGATTATAGAAATCAGGTCAAGGTGGGAATGACTGAGAAAATTCAAGGAACATGGAAATCATTTTGTCAAGACATTACTTCTTTCATTATACATGAGAAAAGTAAAATCTGAAGCCAATTTTAGAAGTAAAGTTTCTTAATATTATCTTGCTCAGTTGAAACAGAAGAATGGCAAATGTACAGGTAGATGTATGTGTGTAAGTATATATGTGTTTGCCATGGGGTGAGGATGTGCAACCGCCCCAGCCATATGTGGTGTATGGTAATGATGAGGAGGCAGTTGTTGTTCTGCAGCATGCTTGGGAAAGGAAAATAATAAACCCCTGAGAGTCTAGATCCCTTTAGCAATATTTGAATTTGATATAATAGAAAAAGAAGTTAAAGTCAGAGATGGAAGCAGGTAACACTATGCAAAGATGGTGAAATGCACAAATCTGTTTCTCTTGGTGAATTTGATAAGATAAATAATCATAATTTGTCTACAAATTATTAAGAATAGTATGTATAATAATTATAACAGCTACTGTTTTGGCCACTGTCTTACTATGTTATAATGGGTTGTATGAATGAATGAAATTGGCAATATGATTTAACAGTTGTGCCTTCCATGTCATGCTATTTAAAAATAGTGGTCAGAAAACATTTCTATCATATTTTTTACTGATATACCGCTAGTAATATCAGATTATGCAACCAAGTAGATGATATATGAAACCTGACGTTGCCTCTTAATAAGCATGGGCAGGTTTCAGAGTTACGTGTTTCAGTTTTCTCATCTGTAAATGAGACAATTCTGACATTATTTCCTCATGTACATCAGTTGAGATAATATACTGAAACTGTTTGGTACAGTCACGAGAACATAGTAAGCAAGTCATAAATGGCAGTGGAAAAAATAATAATAACAGAGTAATAAAAAGAAGACTGGAATGCCAGTGTTAATAATAAGAATACACATACATAACACAATTAAGACTCTTTGAAACATTTTTTTGTGTAATAGTCTTTGAACCATTTCATTTTTGTGTAAT